AGCCAGCCTCCCGCATCCTCCCCCCTCGCCCTTTGGCATCCAGCCGCCCGCATCCTCCCCCCTCGCCCTCTGGCATCCAGCCTCCCGCATCCTCGCCTCTCACCCTCCGGCGTCCAGACTCCCGCATCCTTCCCTCTCACCCTCCTGTATCCAGCCTGCATCAAGCCTCCCGCATCCTCCCCCCTCGCCCTCCGGCATCCAGCCTCCCGCATCCTCCCCTCTCATCCTCCAGCATCCAGCCTCCCGCATCCTCCTCCCTCCCTCTCTGGCATCCAGCATCCTGTCCTCTATCTTCACCCTGATCCCAGCCCTGGAATAACTGCACCATGCTCCTCCTGTATCAGGATCCGATTCACTGAACAAGGGGGCACAAGCAAGCAGTCTGCATCTGAATTCAGCTAAAAGGCAACACGTACACCTAGTAGCCCAGACTGGAGTCCATGCTTACAGGACTGGGGTCTCTTTCCTGTGGAGCACAGACTCTGAAAAACACTCGCGATGGAGAGTCACTCAGCTCATGCTCCGAGTGTGCGCCTGAGACCTGACCGGCTCATGAAATCCTGGGGAACCTGAGGGAGGAATCTCATGTTGGAGCAAAGAGGGGATTCCACCTCACTGCCTGGCACCGGTGCAACCATGGTTGGAGGCCTGCGTCCTGCTCTGGCATGCGCCCTCCCAGAAGATGCTGATCAATTGCCCAGGAGTTGGGGAAGAGGCATGAAAATAGCAGAGGGAGGAGAAAGCATGCGGTACAAGGATGGATGTCTAGAGTTTGAGCTCTGTACAAATCTGTAATAAGGCCCAGATTGTCCAAGTCCTCTGCCAAGCTTGTGTCTCCAATTCCGATGAATTCTCACGCTGACTGAGTGCACCCATCCCCTGCAGCTTTGAAAAATGCCATCTTTACAGCAAGTTAAAGGCAGCTAGGGGCTTTAGGAGCATCTCCATGCTTTCTAGAGCTCCAGAGAGGTGGATGAGGATGGTGTGTGGAGCGGGGAGAATCCGGGGGGGGGGTTCACAAAAGCCACCAAGCAGCCATGCAGATACGTCTGTGGGTGTATTTCCCTGCAGCCCCACATACTCCTCCTGCAGCTGCCACACATCAGGGTGCTGTCACCTGACCCCTCTCAGTTTTCTCAGCGCCGCCTTCACCTCCTTGTTGCGCAGCGTGTAGATGGCCGGGTTCAGCATCGGTGTCACTACATTGCCAAAGATCTGCACAGGGGTCACCAGCACATTATTCAGCTGGGGCTGGGTGTAGACCAGGGCGCAGGGCCCAAAGAACAGCGTCACCACAGTCAGATGGGAGGTACAAGTGGAGGCCGCTTTGCGCCGCCCTTCGGCCGAGTTCATCTTCACAACCGAGTAGAAGATGCGGACGTAGGACGCAAGGATGAGGAGGAAGCAGCTCAAGGGCACCACGCTCGTGTTGGTGAACGTCACAGTCTCGATGACGTACGTGTCTGCACAGGCCAGCTTGGCCACAGGGAAGATGTCGCAGAAGAAATAGTCCACCACGTTGGACCCGCAGTAGGGCAGTGTGAAGGTCAGGGTGGCAAGGATGGCAGCGTGGAAGAAGCTTGCGATCCAGCTGCCAGCAGCCAGGAGGGCACACACCCGGCGGTTCATGATGAGCAGGTAGCGCAGTGGGTGGCAGATGGCCACGTACCGGTCGTAGGCCATGACGGTGTAGAGCAGGCACTCGGTGCTGCCCAACAAGTGGAAGAAGAAGACCTGAGACATGCACCCGCCCAGAGAGATGGTTCTGTTCTTGGCCTTGGCCAGCAATTTGGGGATGCTGATAGAAGAGATGCCAATGTCCAGCACAGCGAGGTTGCCGAGGAAGAAGTACATGGGGGTGTGCAGGCGGGGGTCAACGAGGATGGCTGAGAAGATGAGCAGGTTGCCCAGCAGGGTGCAGAGGTAGAAGGCTAAGAAGGTGAAGAAGAGGATGGTCTGGAGGCCGTCGGTGTTGGGAATTCCTAGGAGGATGAAATGAGTTACCCCAGTGTGGTTCACCAGCCCCATTTAGGTCTCTTTCCTAGGATAAGGGAGAGAAATGAAACCAGTGAGTTACTGAAAAAGAATTGAAGACAGTATTAGGAATCCGGTGGGTTGAGGAGGTATCTGGGCCATTCGCTATCATCTGTGAAACATTGTGCAATGGGGATAAGATTCCAGAAGACTGGAAAAGGTCAAATGTCGTGCCCCTCTATAAAAAGGGAAATCAGGAGAATCCAGGAAACTACAGACCAGTCAGTTTAACTTCTATGACAGGAACCAGAATGAAGCAAATAATTAACGAATCCATCTGCAAAACTTTGGAAGTTGATAAGTTACAGTCAGCCTGGATTTGCAAAGAACAGACCACGTCAAATACACCTGATAGCTTTGTGGATAAAGGGGACGTGGTAGATATGAAAAGCTAGTTTTCAATAAAGAATTTGACACGATCACGCATGACTTTATCTATAAACTAGGGAAATACAACCTAGATAGGTCTACTGTAAGGTGGGGGCTCAACTGGCTGGATAACTGTTCTTCGAGGCTACATCTACATTTTGTCCCATAGTGTACTAGGCAAAGTCAAATTAAGAAATGCAACTTCAGCTACGGTAGCTGCATTGCTGAAGTTGAGTAGCTTCACTTGGCTTTAGGCGCTGGGGACAAGGCAGGAAGCTGAAGGAAGGACACTCTTCCTTTGACTTCCCTTACGCCTCATGAAAGCAGGCAGGGTTCCTGGCATTGACCAAAGTCCTGCTCTCACTCCGAGTTAGCTTTCTTCACTCTTCCTCTGTAGTGTAGACATATGCAGGGAGCAGTTATTAACGGTTCACAGTCCTGCTGGAAGGACATCACAAATGGGGTTCTGCAGAGGTCTGTTTGGGGCTGGTTCTGTTCAATATCTTTATCAATGATTTAGATATTGGCATAGAGAGGACAAATTTATAAGTTTGCAGATGATACCAAGCTGGGAGGGGTTGCAACTGCGTTGGGGGATGGGTCATAATTCAAAATGATCTGGACAAACTGCAGAGATGGGCTGAGGTCAATAGGATGAAGTTCAATAAGAACAAATGCAAAGTGCTCCACTGAGGAAGGAACAATCCGTCTCACACACACAGAATGGGAGGTGACTGTCTAGGAAGGAGTCCTGCAGAAAGGGATCTAGAGGTCAGAGTGGACCACGAGCGAAATATGAGTCAACAGAGTGACACTGCTAAAAAAAAAGCCAACATGATTCTTGGCGGCATGAACAGGAGCGTTGTGAGCAAGACACGAGAAGTCATTCTTCTGCTCTGCTGGGGCTGATTAAGCCTCTGTTGGAGTCTTGTGTCCAATTCTGGGCACCACATTTCAAGGAAGATGGAGAGAAATTGGAGAAGGTCCAGAGAAGAGCAACAAAAATGATGAAAGGGCCAGAAAACATGAGCTTTGAGGGAAGACTGAAAGAATTGGGCTTGTTTAGTCTGAAAAGGAGAAGACTGAGAGGGGACACGAAAACAGCTTTCACGTACCTAAAAGTGTTACAAGGAGGAGGGATAAAAACTATTTTCCTTCACCTCTTCGGACAGGACAAGAAGCAAGGGGCTTAAATTGCAGCAAGGGAGGTTTAAGTTGGACATTAGGAAAACTCCCTACCTGTCAGGGTGGTGAAACACTGGAATAAATTGCCTGGGGGGTTGTAGATGCTCCATCCCTGGAGATATTTAAGAGCATTTTAGACAGACATCCGTCAGGAATGATTTAGATGGTGCTAGGTCCTGCCGTGAGGGGAGGGGACTAGAACTAATGACCTTTCGGGGTCCCTTCCAGTTCTATGATTCTACACAAAAAGCCCTGCCACCATCTCGGTGCCATGCCCATCCTTCCTTCCACTGCCCCAGGACTCGCCCTCCTTAGGAGCGGGGGATAGGTCTGTGCTTGCAATGCTCAACAGCCTCGGGGCTTGTGCTCGTGTTGAACCTGGAAAGAAAAAATGTTTCCCTTGAAGAGTTTTCAGTGCAGAGAGGATGTCATAGAATCATAGAACACCAGGACTGGAAGGGACCTCGAGAGTCATCGAGTCCAGGCCCCTGCCCCCACGGCAGGACCAAATACTGTCTAGACCACCCCTGACAGACGTTTATCTAACCTACTCTGAGATATCTTCAGTCGATTTGATTTGACTCGATTCGACTCGATTCTGGTTTCTTCTCTTCTCTGCTCTCCTGCTCCCATGTCTTCAGTTCTGTTCTCCATGAATCTTTCCCCCACCCGATTGCTGCAGTGCCTGCAAGCTGCTCTTTGTGGCTGATTTCTCATGGGTGGATTGTTCCTCTGTTACGGTCTCAGCAGGAGGGTGGTGTGCGGAGTGCAGTGTGCGATGTGTACAGCATGTGTGTGCGATGTGTGCGGTGTGCAGTGTGTGATGTGCGGTATACAATGTGCAGTGTGTGGTGTGCAATGCGTGCAGCGTGTTTGCAATGTGTGATATGTGTGGTATGCAGTGTGTGGTGTGTGAGTCATGCGGCGTGTGTGTGGTGTTCAGTGTGTGATGTGTGTGGTATGCAGTGTGTGGTGTGTGGTGTGCAATGCATGTGGCTTGTGTGTGATTTGTGCGGTCTGCGGTGCGTGATGTGTGCGGTATGTATTGTGCGGTGTGTGGTGTGTGATGCATGCAGCATGTGTGCAATGTGTGCGGTGTGCACTGTGTGATGTGTGCAGTGTTTGTGCGATGTGTGTGGTGTGTGTGTGAGGTGTGCAGTGTGCAGTGTGTGACGTGTAGTATGCAGTGTGTGGTGTGCGATGTGTGCAATGTGCGGTGTGTGATGTGTGCGGTGTGCAGTGTGTGACGTGCAGTATGAAGTATGTGATGTGCAATGGTTGCAGTGTGCGGTGTGTGATGTGTGCGGTGTGCAGTGTGTGACATGTGCAGTATGCAGTAGGTGATGTGCAATGGTTGCAGTGTGCAGTGTGTGATGTGTGCAGTGTGCAGTGTGTGACGTGCAGTATGCAGTGTGTGGTGTGCGATGTGTGCAATGTGCAGTGTGTGATGTGTGCGGTGTGCAGTGTGTGGTGTGCAGTGCGTGCAATGTGCGGTGTGTGATGTGTGATGTGTGCAGTGTGTGACATGTGCAGTATGCAGTGTGTGGTGTGCGATGTGAGCGATGTGCGGTGTGTGATGTGTGCAGTGTGCAGTGTGTGACGTGCAGTATGCAGTGTGTGGTGTGCGATGTGAGCGATGTGCGGTGTGTGATGTGTGCAGTGTGCAGTGTGTGATGTGTGCAGTGTGCAGTGTGTGATGTGTGCAGTGTGCAGTGTGTGATGTGTGCGGTGTGCAGTGTGTGGTGTGCGATGTGAGCGATGTGCGGTGTGTGATGTGTGCGGTGTGCAGTGTGTGACATGTGCAGTATGCAGTGTGTGGTGTGCGATGTGTGCAATGTGCAGTGTGTGACGTGCAGTATGCAGTGTGCGATGTGTGCAATGTGCAGTGTGTGACGTGCAGTATGCAGTGTGCGATGTGTGCAATGTGCAGTGTGTGACGTGCAGTATGCAGTGTGCGATGTGTGCAATGTGCAGTGTGTGACGTGCAGTATGCAGTGTGCGATGTGTGCAATGTGCAGTGTGTGACGTGCAGTATGCAGTGTGCGATGTGTGCAATGTGCAGTGTGTGACGTGCAGTATGCAGTGTGCGATGTGTGCAATGTGCAGTGTGTGACGTGCAGTATGCAGTGTGCGATGTGTGCAATGTGCAGTGTGTGACGTGCAGTATGCAGTGTGCGATGTGTGCAATGTGCAGTGTGTGACGTGCAGTATGCAGTGTGCGATGTGTGCAATGTGCAGTGTGTGACGTGCAGTATGCAGTGTGCGATGTGTGCAATGTGCAGTGTGTGACGTGCAGTATGCAGTGTGCGATGTGTGCAATGTGCAGTGTGTGACGTGCAGTATGCAATGTGCAGTGTGTGATGTGTGCAGTGTGCACAGCGCTTTGCTCCACCAGTGCCCAGTGCCTGGCGTGGGTGTCCAGGGGAGGCAGGGGGAGCACACACACCAGTGCGGTGAGGCGGAATCGCCCCGCTGTGTTCGCAGTGTGCCTGGCTGGGCAGTGGGGTCGGAGAAAAGGAAGGAGAGGGAAGGCGAAGGGGACGCCCCAGCCAGCGGGGAGGGAGTCAGGGCTGCTGGGCGCGGGAGGAGCCTCTGGGCCTCAGCTGGTCCCCTGCTCGGCCGTCACCAGCTGATGGGCTCTGTAACCCGACGGGGGACTTGCAGTGAAATTTGAAGGACAATAACAAAAGGTGGGATTTTGCCAGGGAGAATCCCTGTACAGGAGGGGCAGGGCTGCGGGGAAGAGGCTGGCGGGGGGGTTATGGTGGATGGGGAGGGGCAGGGCTGTGGGGCAGATGCAGGGCCAGGCCAGAGACAGGCAGAGACCGAGGGCAGCGCGAGAGGGTCGGTACCAAAGCAGGCGCCTTACACTGGCTGCATGGGCAGAGGCGGCTCCAGCTGACCGGGATTCTTCCCTTCTGCCCCGGCCGGGACTCCTGTGGCCCCATCCTGCCTCCTTCACTG